TCCCTTTTATTGTTATAGCCATAGCGATTCCCGTTCACTGAAGGTATAATGAGTGGAATGAATCACGTACATATATATTATTATATGTATAGATTTATATCACACTATGTATTGTAAATGGGATTATAATTAATGGCCCAAATGGAGAAAAGTGAAAACTGACTACCACTTAAAAGGCGCCTGAGTGTAGGACTCTGGCATTATGAATAAGAATAAGTACAACGGTAACCGCAATATGTGTGGCGATAAAGCATACGCTACAAGCAAAATGTATTTAAATTTTTTATTGTACAAGCTTGCATGAAATTTACTTCATTTTATAATAAATTTTAAGCCAAATTAAAGTAATTAATATTTAATTGCGTGCAGAAAAATTGAAAGTGGTCGGCTCTTTCATTTTATTTGAATCTCCTCGCCAATAAATTATAAACTATAATATTACATTTGAGCTCACATGTCAGTCTGTCAATAACATAATATAAGATTTATTGCGTAATGTCTGTAATACTTTTTATAACTTTCCATTGTTTTTATTAAATAAGGCGAATTGCGTCACATAATTAATTTATTTTCATATTTATTTTCATGTTATTAAAATTTGTGATGTGTCTGTGCTTTCGTTTTAAAAGAGGCTGCGCAATCTTCTTCCTTTTTTTAAGTTTTTGACCAAATTTATTCAACGCTCTTTTTCAAATTAAATCCTTTAAATAATTTCGTTCTTCTACGGAGTCGAAAATCCGCAGACGCCCACGACATGCACGCAGCTAACTATTGTTTATAAAAAAGGACAGAAAAATGCCATTTATTGTGTCAAAAAATGGTCAAATACAAATCTATTCAACAGGCATGCGCTTGTCACAGCCTAAGCTAATACAATTGTCATTCACAACAAATCCAATTTGACACTTTTCGGTATGTAGAAGGAAAAGCAAAAAGAGAAAACAATTTAAAGCTTTGAAAATATAAAACAACAACAAATTATTGCGCAGGCATTTTTTAGGATTTCAGGAACATAATTTTGCTTTCAGAAAAAAGGAAAATTAAATTCAACCATTTTTCATTCCTATTGCGATCTTTTGCTATTTTCTGTGAAATAAATCCGCACCGAAGAAATAACAGCTTTTGTTTTTCCGTACAAAGCTAATTTCATAGATAAACAAATAAACAATCAATCTTGTGTATAAACAAACAGAGATATCATTGAGTAGGATAAATGAAAAGCAGCAATGTGCACAACATACAACAATACATATGCTCATGCACACATACCGAAATTATTGGAATGAAAAGTGCAAAGAGAGACCCAAACACATACACGACATACATACTGCTTTCATTTTCCTTACACTCAAAAAATAAAACACAAAAACTAAAAAAAATAAAAATAAATATACTTACATCCAAACATAAATTTCCTTAAGTTTAGCCTTCGGTTCTTCTGAAATTCCCTTGCGATTTCCAAAGCAGCCCTCTGTTAATGGTTATGGTTGAATGTAGCCGGCTGTCAGCTGTGAAGTAAAAGCGTGGGAGCAATGAATGAGCATGTCAGACAGACAGACTAAAGCCTCAAAGTAAATAGATAATTAACATGTTTGTTTATAAACTTCCGCCTAATAATAATAATAATAATTTATTCAAGCCTTTAACGGTGATGTTTGAGTTTTGAAATGTGAACATGTGCGTATGGAGTGGGTGAAATTTATGTTAATTAAATTTATGTTATTTAAAAAAAATATGAATTTGTACAATTTATTTTAATGTAAAAACATACACTACTACAACAATAAAACTAACGCTGCACCGTTGCCAATTTACAACAAAAGGAGTCCACTAGTAGCCGTTAAGTGCAAGTAATTTCCCAAGAACAGTATAATATGAAATCAAATTTTCCACCATTTTTACTTTAATTGCGCACAATATATTCATATATATATTTTTTTTTTCGGTCGAGCTCCTCCTTCTATTGGTAGTTTTTCGTCTTGATGTTTTTCCTACAAATGCTCAGAACACAATAAGCACAAATAAAGAAAAAAATAGTTTTTCGTTTATTTTTCTTACTTTGAGTGAGAGAATTGCGGTAAAAATGAAGAAGGTACAGTGAACAAGCACTTAATTGAGCGGAAGTGCATAAATATGAATGGTTGTATGTATGTGTGTGAATGAATAATTGTAATTGCATACATACAACAAGTGTGTAGTAACATACAAATTTTACCCAAAATACACATGTGCAAGATACAACATTCTCTGATTGTTCTTTATCAACTGTCTAATTGCCAATGTCTGCGCAATTATGTACGCTTTGTAATATAGCTATGTACACGTATGTGTAGGTATGCGTGTATTAAAAAAATAGGAGTGTTTTTGTTACCATTTCGGATTTCTTTGTGTCCTCTGTTAAAAGTACGTCAGCACTTGGCTACAGTGCTCAAGCACACTACTCAAGCACCGAGTGCTTCCGTCGACCAATTTAGGCAATAAAAAGTCATGCGAAAAAAACTACTTTTATAACGCACACGCACAAGTACATTTCGACTACAGACAGTGAAAAATAGAAACTAGTAATAATAAAAAAAGTTATAATAAAACATTATTATCAAAATTTAAAAATCGCATGAAATAAAATTCAAGAAATAAGTAAATAAAATAAAATACAATAAAATAAAATAAAATAAAATATAATAAAATAAAATAAAATAAAATAAAATAAAATAAAATAAAATAAAATAAAATAAAATAAAATAAAATAAAATAAAATAAAATAAAATAAAATAAGGCAAACTAAAATAAAATAAAATTATATGAAATTACGACAATACTAAAACAAAAATTGAAAAATAAAATAAAGTTTGTAACCGCTGAGGCAATTTTCGGCCGAGCTCCTCCTCCAATTTGTAGTTTTACGTCTTGATATTTTTCCAACAAATGGAGGGACCTACATTTTATATTAAGCCGCCTCCGAACGGCTAATGGTCTTTAATGAGAATCATTTATTTGATGAAAGAAATACACTCGGAGGGGTTGACAATATCTGCCGAAGGGTGACCGCAAATAGAAAATTTTAAACTAATTTTTATTTAAAATAGTTTTCTATATCTTTTGGATGTTGATTGCACCAGGATTTGAACCCAGGCCTTCCGATTGGCAGTACGCAAAGCTAACCACTCAGCCAATTGAAATAACATTGAACACAATAAAATTAAATTTAATTAAAGAAATAAAATCAAACAAACTGAAATAAAATTGAATAATATAAAAGATACTTCAAAATGAAATTTTAAAGGCAAATATAATATAAAAGAAAATAAAATAAATGTAAGTAAAATAAAATAAAATACAATAATAAAATATTATAAAAAAAAATATTACAAAAATATATATAAATAAAAAAATAAAAATATTATTAATAAAAAAAATAAAATAAAATAAAATAAGAAAACATAAAATTAAATACAATATAATATTGTACAATATAACACAATAAAATGCAATGTAATAAATCAAATTTCAAGTTTCTCCTTTTTCTAGAATTCACAAAAAAGTTGCAGTACACCTCTTAACATTATCAACTATGTATCCTTTTATATTATAACGAAAAATTTAGCTTGAGAAGTCTTTTAGTCTTTTTAGTAAGTCTCTCTCCGCTTTTGTGCACCTCACTGTATACACATACATATGTATGCATGTTTGAAATGTGTTCGCATTCATTATGCAAGTGGCACAGACAAATATTGTACGAGTATGTATAGTATGAAGCAGCATTTTAGTAGAAATGGGTGTGTTCATTGTACTCAACTAATTGCCGAAAACTTTTCCTGCCACTATAAAGTGATGATATGCCTGAAAAATGGCACTTTGTGGTTACGAGGAAGGTAAAATACGCAGAGCGTGTGATAAGGTATGTGTGTGTTTGTGGAAGCCGAGGTGTGTATGAATACACTTGAGAGTTAGTACTAACTGCCATAAGGTAATACCATTTGTAAGAGTGAATTATCACTTAATCAAGAGTTGAAGAATTTTCATCATGGTTAATGCCGTTAAAACGCGACAGGTATAATGTAGTAAGGCCATGATGGTAGAATTCGAAGCATGAAATATGTAATAAAAAAATTTTCTACGAACAAAGTATTGTATTTATTGATATATAATATATATTTTTTACAAATTTCAAGGCTCAAAATGGAATGAAAACTTTACAATCCTTCATATATGTCATATCGAAAATTATGTTAAAAATTTCGAAAAAGCTTGGCCATATTCCTATACGCACAGGCGTGTCAAATTACTCTCATAAGTCGCTAACTGCCGCCGTGCTTCTACTGTAGTGTCGCCTCGAGAAACCGACTCGTGCATATAATATCATTTAACTCCACGCCATTCATTAACCTTTAATTTTTGCTCATTATTTCCGCATTGTAGCTAGTACACATTTGCATAACACACGCTTATGTACTTATGAACTTTTATCGTATATACGTGTATGTGTAAGGGCATTCACGCTTTTCCCTTACACTGTAAATTCTGGTAATTTATCATATTTACAGGTTTCCACTGAATTAAATTCACAACGCTCTCCAATATGCTTCTTTAATTATACGCTGCTATCATTTTGCACATTTTGCAATTTTGCTTCTAAGAAAGCAAGGGCTTTGTGGCAAAATATTAGTATATTTATTACATTATTATAATTGCATATTAATAATCGATATTTTTATATCATACGTACATTGTTTACCTTTTAAAACCCTGTTACTTTAAATAATTTAAAACCAAAACTGGTCTAATAAAAATTCGCTTGGCCAAACCCAATTTTTTCTCTGTTTTTTTTCTACTTCGGTAATAATAGGTATGCCATACATGACTCTCGCTCTCCCTCGTCTCTTTCACTATCTCCCGCTTGTTCTTTCTCTCCCTCTCTCTGTCTCTCTCTGAGCTCATCGCTTAGATCAGCACTCAAGCGAATGTAGTAAGATATTTTATTAAAAAAAAAACTTAAAAATAAAATATTTGCATTTTTACCAAAGCAATTTTCAAAACACTAAAAGCTGGTTAGTTCAGTTCCGACGCTGGTAGAAGAAGTGATGAAAAGGTTAAATAAATAAATATTAATTGTTGGCGACATTTTTTAAACAAAAAAAAAATAAGTTTTTAAGAATAATTTAAAATCAAAGCACAATCATTAAATGGCTTGGCGTTATGCGTTTTCTATTTCCGGAGTACTCATACCAATCTCTCTTCTCTACACCTACTACCGCTACAAGTTCGGTTATTTTGAGCGTCGCGGCATACCACATATTAAAGCGGATATAAATATCTTTCTCAAGCAGCCTACCAAGGACTTACTACAAAGTGCCTATAACACCTTCCAAAACAGCACGCCTATTGCCGGCGTGTTCTTAAGCACTACACCTGTGCTGGTCATACTCGATCTGGAGCTGGTCAAACGCGTGCTTGTCGATGACTTTGCAAGCTTCAGTGATAGGTTAAATTTAGAAAACTCCAGCGATTTACTACACGCCACGGATAATAAGCAATGGCAAGCCATACGTCGAAAGCTGACGCCCTGTTTCTGGTCGGCAAAGATGAATCTTATATTTGCAAATGTTTGCAAAGCTGCTGAAAATTTTCTAGATAACAGCGAAGAGTTTTTGAGAAGCGTTGAGGTAGACTTTAAACCCTTGTGTACGCGGTATGCTGCCAATGCTTTAATGCGTTGTGTTTTTGGTTTGGAGCTCGATAATGCGGATGAGTCAACGATGACGTTACACTTGCGCATAAAAGACCTACTGAAACGTGAGTGTGAGGCACGACTCTCGGCCAATGATAATAATATGTTGCCCGGTGTTTGTTGTATAAAGCGTACACACGCCCAAACAGTGAGTGCGGAGAGTTTCAGTGTTGAACTTGAAACTCTTTTGTTCGCGGCAGTGGAAGAGCGAAGTGAAGGAAGTCCCCAGCACAGTGATCTAATACAAATACTCATCAATTTGCTAGCTGCCGAACAAAGTGACTCGGCTGTGGTGAATCGTAGGGAGTGTGTCTTTCAAGCCATACATTTAGTCACACAATCGCTCAGCACGCTACTCAGCGGTTTTGCGCACTCAGCGAACATTTTAATGCATTGCTTAAACGAACTCGCGCGCAACGATGAAGTGCAGCTTGCATTACGTCAGAATATCACAAGCGTGCTGCAGTCATATGCGCAAGATTTTAGCTACGAAGCGATGGGTCATATGCACTACCTGGATCAGGTGGTCGCGGGTGAGTGCAATCTGAAAAATACATCTCTCTATACTATAATTTGCCTCTTTTACATCACTTCATTACAGAAGCTCTGCGCAAACACCCTGTCGCTGAGGCGCTGTCACGTCTCTCACTGCACGATTACCACATACCAGGCACCGCCCTAACAATTGAGCGCAACACCTGTGTTTTAGTGCCCGTACAAGCCATACACTACGACCCGAATATTTACCCGGTGCCCGCACAATTCGATCCGTCGCGGTTTGATGCTGCCACTGTGATGGCCCGCCACACCTGCGCTTATCTACCGTTCGACGATGGACCACGTAATTGCATGGGCAAGCGTTTGAGTAAAATGCTTATCAAGGTGGCGCTTGTCAAGCTGTTGCACGTTCGCCGACTGAAAGAGATTGCACGTGTTGAGCGAGAGTCGGTAAATGAAGAAAATTTTCGAATGGACACGAATGAGTTTCGCATCAAGCTGCAAAGCCTTTAAGATATTAAAAAATAATAATATATTTAAATATTAAATACTGAAGATGAAATATTTGAAATGAGCAAAACACAAAAACGTAAGAATTAAATATAAGTTTCGGCTGAGTTTCTTTTATTATTATTGGTAGTTGAATTATAGAGACGATACTCAAAAAAAATGCTCTACAATGAGTAGGGAGTTATTTATATTGAGCTCATAAGAGCTTTATGAAGTTTTAAAGCTTAGTTAAATATAAGTTTGTATAATATATATATATATATATATAAAGTATAGTAATTTCACTGAAAAGATATCTTTTATTTTATACTTGATAGGAAATGAAAAAACATTCTAAGAACTTCTGGATTTGTTAAAATACACATTATTTACAAATATATACATATTTAACTTGCAACGACTTTGTTAAACTTTATTTTTGATCAACTGATTAATGGCTATGTGGTGCGTGGGTCATTATACACGTATGCGTGTGTACGTAAACACTATAGTCCCATAAATAAATACGCAGGGACAATTTATAAACTTGGCAATGTCCCTTTAACTTCCTTACGCGGAAGAATTACTGGACAAATTTTGTGAGTATTCCACCGACTCGAGCAACATGTTGGCGTTGAAAAATTATATCTGCACTCAATAAACCAAAAAACAAATTCCGTCGACGTACAGTTGTACTAAATCACTGATGTGTAAATCGGAGTGCCACGCTAACTGACGCCTGGCATCGCTTGCCTACTACTCACCACATTCAGCACAATGGTGCATGCCATCCTTGCCACAGTTATCCAAACAAAAGCAGCGACATCTGTCAACGAATAAGTCGTGTACTAAAGGTCGCGAGACCAAAAAACGATAGTAGCCAGCGCAAAAACATACACATACATGCAAATGTCTGTAAATCTATATGTATGTATACATTTGTGAATTTGTTGGCGACTATACAATTTGGTGGTGTTAAATCGAATTGATTAATGAATGCAATTGATTTTGAAAATCGCAGCAATCATTCCTTTCTCAATTCAGTGAACGTATATTGCTGGCCGGAAGATTTGCATATGGCAAACAGGTATTGAGTTTAAATATTTTATTTCCTTTTCTTTTTTCTAATCGACTTTTTAATCCAATGAAACCGAAGAGTAAATAAAATAAAATTTAATCATCAGATTGCGATGTAACCTTTAATAAGAATCCTGCGGCCTCAAACTGCTGACTTTGTTTACGGAAATAGCCATTTTTCGACTGAAATATAGTCTGCCAAAGTCGCCGGAAAATTTTTAACCTTCATTTTGCTTACTTCATTTTTTTATTCATAAAAGTTGTGTTTTTAAGGATGTGGATTTTAAGTAATTTCCAAAAATTTAACATTATTGCAAAGATAAGGGCTTGGCATTATGTTTCGAAAATATAAAATGCCAGCCTAGTGACGAAATTTTCGACCACTTTTTATAGTAATAGGTGCCGTATGTATGTAGTAACGAGCCATAGATTATATTGTTCGAAAGCCTTAATCGTCTCAGGTTTAACTGCGTTGCCAAGGAATTTCACTTAACGTCACGCAAATCGTTCTTGCGGTGCTAAAACGCTAACCGTCCACAGCGCGAGATAATGGGCTCAACTATAGTTTCCATCAATGAATTGCTTTTTTCTTATCTTTATGTCGTTCCCCATTGGAAAACTTTCGGAAAGTAGTTTTGAAAAAATAAAATTCCTTCTAATTTTCTAAAAAAAAGATCCAAAAAAAAATTATCAACAGATGCGAACGGCTTTGTTTTTGTCCATAAGACTACAGTTGTTTGGAGATTAAAAATAGAAATATGAAAAGCTTCATAACTATAATAATATTTGCCATATTTTTAACCGAAATATACTAGTTGTTGAAGTTATTATTAAAAATTCAATAAAATCGCATTTTTTTAATGGATTTCGCAAAATTTGTCCAAGCACTTATTTACATGCAACAATGCTAACTAATATTAATCCTCAGTCACATATTGTTAGATTAATATTTACCAGAGAGATGTACCAATATGAAAAAAACCACGCAAAATAAAAATGACTGAAAATTGGAATAAAACAATTTACATTTTCAACAAATTCATAAGTCCTTTCAATTTTAAACCTCAAAAACTGATAAATATTTTATGTGAATGCATACAAAAGCCAAATATACATATATGCACACGAATTCTCATCAACTCATTGGTATGTATGTATGTATGTAGTGTGGCGCCATTTGAGCTAAACAGGTCGCAAATCCAATCAACATTGATACTATGCAACGGGCTGTTTGTTGCCTCATTTTTGTTGTTGTATCAGAAACCGCTGTTTCAGTGGAATATGCTAATTGAAACAGTAACCACTAAGAGTGGACGGCGCATGGCTTTCGGTTGATTTAAGTGGTGCAATGTAAACATTTACTTACCCCACCCTCTCCGGCTGACACACTAACAAATCGGTGATGGAGTGAAATTTTATTCCCTAGTCAAACTTTGCAGTTCTTAACCAGTTCATGAAATTTAATACTTACTATAAAAAATTGAAGAAATGCAGGTACGTAAGAGTTGGAGGCATAGTGCCATAAAAAAGTTCACGATTTGCATATTATTTTAAATTTTCTTCTCTAGAATTCTAACAAAAATAAATTGCCACTAAAGTGCATTCAGAAAGTAAAGCGCTGGACTGGTGCGCTTTTCCATGCGTATGGCGACAACTCCGTTAAGCCCCGTTCAGGTCACTCGCTTTTATTCGCACTCAACGTGCTATGTAAACTTTTACAATTTACGCACACTCGTGCACATTTTGTAAAGTATCAAGCGCATAGATTAACCAACCAACCGACCGCTTGAGCGTAATGCAAATATGTTTTGCACAAAAAGCACAACATTCTCTAGTGCAGACCAATTTGTTGCTTGTGTTGTAGCAATAGTAGCGGTTTTAAATTTTTTTTTTTTGCGTATATTTACATTTTTTCATTTTTACTATTTTCAGTTTGTTATACCATTGGGTTGCCCTAAAAGAAGCCGGCAATTTTTCATACAGATGGTGTTGGCAATTTTTTTGAACAGCTTGTGACTATTTAATTTCATTTTTTCTTTTGACAGTTATAAGCTGTCACTTTAAGTATGCTTTAGATAAAAATACATGTTATTTCATTTATTTTTGTTTGTTTGGCGTCAACTTTAATATGGAGCCTATGAAAGAACATTTTCGCAATATTTTACCTAATTATTTCCTTAAAGGAACACACACAGTGCAGATTGCTAACGAGTTGCATAATTTGTATGGTGATAAGCCTTTAAGAGAAACACAGTGTCGAAGTTGGTTTGTCAAATTCCGTTGAGGAGATTTTTCACTCAAAGGTAAGCCACATTCAGGTCGGTCAAAGTAAAGCTCGTGATGACGATATCAAGGCTTTAATCGAATCGAATCGTCGTGTAACTGAGCTTGAGATTGAAGAGAAGTTAGGTATACCAAAGTCAACCGTTCATTAACATATACGACATATTGGACTTGTAAAAAGACTTGATATTTAGAGCCACATGAATTTAAAGAAATTCAACGCTTCCACGCTTGTGATATACATCGTAATTTGTTTTTTTTTTTTTTTACAATAACGCCAATCGAGAACGATTATGGTTGAATCACTATGAAGCGGCACAAATCTTTTCAAAGGCTGATATTCCCAAAAAGAAGATTTTACTGTCAGTTTGATAGGATTGGAAGGATGTGCTATATTTATAGTTGCTTCTAAGGATCCACATGATTAATTCGTATGTCTACTGTGAAGAACTGCATAAATTGAATACATTCATAAACGTGATGCGACCAGAATCGGACAAAGGTGTCTTATTACACCAGGACAAAGCTAAACCGCTCAGTTCTTTGGTCACTCGCCAAAAGCCCTGCCTTTGCACCGTCAGATTACCTTTTGCTTTATGCTTTGCAGTGCTCATTAATTGTAAAATCTTCGACAATGACGAGGCTATAAATCGCACTTGGTTTGTTTTTGGCTGATAAAGGCCAAAAGCTCTACAATCGTGTAATAATGATGAGACAAAATGGAAACTACATAATTGATTAGAGCTCATTAAAGAATATAAAAAAAAACTTATTTATTTTCTTTTAAAAAATCGCCGGTTTCTTTTGAAGCAACCAATATTTCTACATTTTTTTGGTCTTTCATACATTATTTTATTATTATTATTTGAAAAGTTTTTTTATTTTTTGCTTGCAATTTCAACTTCTGTCACCAACAGTTTGCAGTTTAATCGCCAAGTGTTAGAGCAAATTTGTGCTACGCAGCTGGGATAGTTCTGGAAAAAAAAATACGCAAAAAAATAATTGTAAAAGCCGCAGACCACGTATAAACAGAAACATACACACATACTATACGCATACGTGAGTAAATCAAATTTTGTATTTTCTCATTTCTTTCTTGTGCTCTTTTTATCACATACTCGTACAAGTTGGTGGTACTTCGCCCTTGCAGCACTTTTATATATTTGTGTTTGTATTTAATTTTGAACGTTTTACTTGTTTGCCATTGTAAATGCATGTCTTTTGTACCTTTGTATGTAAATATATTTAAATTTTTATCTGTGTGCGGCTTTGGTTTGCTGCTGCCCACATAAAAGTGGTGCTCTCATTAAAGTGCGACGCGGCGTATGAGTTATACAAGTTATTCACTTGTACAAGTAAGGGAAAGAAAAAGTAATTACCTTTCATGTGTTCTCATGTTTGTAACGCCAAACGTAAACTAATGAAGTTTTTAGCTTCAAACCATACAAAGTTTCCATTCAAACATTTAGTCAAAGCAACCCGTAGCAATAAATAAAGGGTGTCTTTTTGCTGTATCTGGGTTTTTAATTAGGCAATGCTTTTCCGAAGTTCATCTTTTTGACAGCTTCCACTTGCGACTTCATAATGACTCCATTCATTCATACACCATGCAAATTTATTTCTAAAATAATGGTCTGGTTCGCAAGAAAAATGCCGGCCATAAAATGACAGACAATAGGGAACGCTTTAGAGCCAACGGAACTGAA